TCGCTGTATAACGCTGACCCCCTTTTTTACGAAGTGCAATATGCAAGTGCAATATATTACTGCAATGTGCGTGGACAATGCTCTTATGTTTTGAAATAATTTATTCGAGGTATCCCAGGTCTTAGAAAAAAATAGTCTTAGGTCTTATCCCAGGTCTTAGAACTTCTAGAACTAAAACCCTTGAAGTTCATAAGGAATGTCATTTCTGTTAAATAAACAGTATTTCGATATATGTAGAACGGAAGACTTTTCAATTTTGACTTTGTCATCCTTGATATTGAAGCTTTGCCTTGCCGTTTTTATGCTGATTTTATTTTTACTAATTTTCTTTGCACTACTTAGATTATTTTGTATCATGTCTTCAGTCTTTTCCCTTTCTATATAAAATTATAAAAAGTGTTGGGGGGCCCTCTCAACCGCCTCTTAATTTGTTAATATAATACTTGAAGGTGTTCAAAAAGTACTTCTCCTTACAAAATGAAATCAAAATCAAATTTAAGCTCTGAATCTAAAATAATTATTATCAAATTGGCAAAGGAAAAATTTCGTGTCACACACATACACACACACATACAAATCCAATACCAAAAAACTTGATTTATCAGACGCTTGACAAAGTTTAAAAAATAATTTAAAAAAACTTTAAATCGGATAAAAGGAAGAGGGGTCAGTAATCTATAAAGAAAAATGGAAGCTTATTTCGATATGTTATCTGAATAATAAAATCTCCAATTACAAATTTTCTTGATGGGTTAATGCATTACCAATGTTAAACGTTTTTTGAGTCTGAAAAAAAAATCTTGCAGTTAATAGAAAATTAAAATATTTATAATTCTGAATAAAAATTAATAAGGAATTTTAAGCAGGACCTCTAAAGATTTTCCTTAATTATGTGGATAGCAAAAGGTTTCAATAAAACAATCCTTCTATATATATATATATATATATACACTTTGATTTGAGAACCTAAAATCTTTATTTTATACTGTTTAAGTAAAAAAATGTGCAAAGGAAGAAGTGCTATTTAAAATTATAATTAGTATATATTGGAATGTCTTTAAAAATATAGTGAGCATTGTGTGTGATTTAAAAAGAAAAAGAACAAGATAAAAGATCATCCTTTATCTCAGAATATAAATTATTTCACCTATAAACTTCAATATTTTTATGCTATAAGAAATTTTTTCAAACTTCAGTTTTATTCATTTTTTCACAATTTTGTTCTATATGTTCAAATTTCTTGCATATTTGAGTGACTTTAGTACTTTTCCAACTTTTTCTAAAAACTGCCCAGATAATGTAGTCGAAAATCAACAAATTATACATATTTTTATATCAAGTTATATACTTTTGTTTATCGAATGCGATTTTTATTTACATTGAACTGATTTCCATAAATTAATTATAAAAAAACCACAGTTATTTCTGTAAAAAACGGTATTAATGACCCGTATCTCCCACTTACTTTTTGAGCAGTTGTTGTACAATGATTTTCCCTTTACATCAAAATGTAAAACGTAAACAGGCTGAATACAAAAATGACTAACTTATTAAACCAGTTATATACGTTTTACTGAAAGTTTCAAAAAATAAAAATTTTGACAAAAATTTTGAGTTCGACGAACCATTTCTCAAAAACTGATACTTGACTTTTAGTCTTATGTGACTAACTAATGGAATGGAATCAAAAGTATTATACATGCCAAAATAGTTAAGGATAAATAACACAGTTAATGAAAGATTAATAGATTAAAAAAACAATTGTGTGTGTAAAAGAGAACATCTGTCAAGAAGTAATATGAAAATATGTTAAATAATAATTTAATCACTTTTTGTCCAGTATTATTTAACTTTTTTTCATTAATATTTTTTATAACATATTTCAGATTTGTGAGGTTTTATTATTATTCTTAAAGAAGTATTGACTATATAAGCTAAATCATTTTATGTACTTAAAACACAAATAATTATAATCAAAAATAACTGTTTAATTAATCTTTTCTCTACTCTAGAATGTATAATTCTTTCTCGGAATGCTTACAAGATATTCATAGAAATTGGAAAATATCTTATTTTACAAAGATTTAAATATATTCACTTACTGGCAAAAATAAAGCTGTTTTTTTTTTGTTTGTTTGTTTTTGTTTTTTTTATTATTATTATTATCCTGGATGTAATGTAAATCCACATAAAAATAAATCGAAAAAACTTTACAATTTATAAAAAACATTATATTGCATCTGGTATATGATGAAAAGCTAAGATACAATTATGAATGAAAATGAAGCTCATTAAGTTTCAGTTATTATTATAAAACCCTTTTTACTTAAAAAGATTTTCATTATTTTCATCTAAAGGAGATTTTCTGCAACGATCCAATTACTGACACCTTATCAATAATGAGCAGCTTTGATCGCATCCTAGCTTGATATACCTCCTAAGTCATTAGGTACAAATTTTAAATAAGCTTGAATCATGAAATTAACCATTATAGCCCTAAAACGATCTAATAGAAACATATCTGCATATTATGAAGAACAGTTTAGCTACATTAATAATTATTATTTCGTACAACGCTTCTGATTATCTGATTTTCTAAATTAAAGGCAATTATAACTATTAAAATTAACATTTATTTTATTACGTTTATTGTTATTATGTGTATGATTGAGACCCAGCGGCCGAGTGGTAGCGTATCGCGCTTCCACACCACAGGTTCAGGTTTCTATCCGCGGGCTGGGCAAGGTCGACTCAGCCTTTCATCCCTTCATTGGGTCGATAAATGAGTGCCAAGCTTGCTTGGGGACTAAACACTGGGGGTTTCGCTTCAGACTAACCACCTGATCGGGACATCTGCTTATGAACCTCAGCGGCCAATGGTCAAGTATACTGAGATGGGCACAGTAGGTATTGACCTTCATGGGTTGTTGCGCTACTGAGTTTGAGCATGGTAAATGAGATGTGCATGATAAATTTGCGTAAATTAAACAACATTTGCTTTTTTATATATAATTGAACTAATTCGGTCAAATAAAATATGTATGAAAACACAGTATTTGGCCAAGCTTCGCTCATTAATTTTCCTATTTTTTTCAACTTTATTTAATTAGGGTATTAACTAATTTTCTATTTTCCTGATTGGTATGTCGCGACCCTGCGGTCGCTTGTGAGTTTGAATGCACAGAACTAACAGACATTTAAAAAAAATCAACACTTTCATTTGACTTTCAAATAACTATCAAAAGATCGTTTAAACGCAGCGAAAGGTCAACTTAATATTATTAACCTAAATATTAATAATTATTCCTAAAGTACTTATAACTTTAATTATTAATTCCGCAGTACTTGGTGATCTTTTTCCTCATAGATCTCGGCTCTCTCCTTACTGAAACTCTGATGGTTTCTATTATTGTAGCTTTTACTTCAGGGACCATCGAACCCCCCCCCCTCTCTTCGCTTAACTTTAAATAGCCACTCACATTTGCATAGACCGTGGTTACTCCGCGGAGAGTAATTTTATAATCATACAATAGTTAAGAGGTTTCTCCCAAGAAGGTTAATGACAGCTGTGGGGATAGGATACATCGCAAATATGCCACATGTATGTTACCTAGTTAAACTTTGCTTGATCTCACAAGAATGTACAATATTTAAACTAAAATTTTAAAGTGCATAAGTTTCATAATATCAAGTATTTTATTGAATCTTACATTTTTAAATTAAGAAAACTTTCCAGCACTTTTTTTTTCAATTCCTACTATTAGCTCACACTCTCTATATATTTACTTATTTATTTATCTTGATGGAATTTTTAATCGTTAGTAAAATACATTTTAAAGGGCTCAATTCAGCTGAAATTTTATATACGTGATTATTTTGGATGACAATACAATATAATTTAATTAAAATTAATAAAAATTAATTGATTAAAACTAATTATTTTAAGAATTACAAATACAGCCACGTTGGCATCATTTTCGGCGACTTAGCGACCCTTTTGGCGACTTGTGTCAAAACTTGAAAAGGTTTTTTTTTTTCCCTTTTTAAAGCATTCAGTTGAACTGAAATTTTATGTACACGATTGTTTTGAAGGACACACAATACGATACTTTAATGATAATTAATAAAAATTAATTACCACTTAATGTTGTGATTCTGTCCTATGTATATACATATTTATATTAATTGTAACTATTTGATAAAAAGTAGCTAAAATAAAAATTTTCTTTGTTGATCTAAGTAGGAATTGACTTAATTTTATTTTTTTATATTACTGGTTTTCCTTTAGATTATATTAAAACACATTAACGAGTCCTTGATAAAAAGAAATGTAAGCTATATATTAAAAAAATTGATAAGGCAAACTAAATATAAATTAAGTAAAATGATTTCTTTAAAAAAATTAATATGTATGTAACGAAATGAATTCGTCATTAATAAAAAAAATTCAAGAAAATTCTTTTAAATTCACAAAATACTTCCACTAACAGGGAGACAAAGAAAGCAAATAGCAATTTTTTCACTCCTTTCTTATCCATTTTATTGCTGTCAAAAATACTATCATTCGTATATGGGTCTTTTAAATAAAAAAAAATTATACATTAAATGTATATTTATAAATTCAAGAAAATGTTGAAGTTGATAGTTAACGTTAGTAGTTAAGTTGATACTATACGAAATTTTTAATATCAGAAAAATATTTCCAACCTAAAAATTCATTTTTGCCATTTTTTAATTCCTACTATTAGTTCGCAGTTCTCACTCTTCCTATATATATATATATATATATATAAATATGTATCTTGCTCAAATTTTTAATTGTTGATAAAATACTTTATCATCCACTCAAGTGCAAATACGTTTTTTTTTAAAACTTATAGTGGATGACACTTGATGTTAATACAGTTTTTACAAATATTAATTAATTAATTAATGAATAATGAATAACAAACAAAAATAATAGTCCAACACCATATATATAAAGGAAAACCTCTCGTTACATCCCTGCAGCGCAATGGGTAGGGCGTTGGACTTCTAATCCGAAAGTCGTGGACTCGAATCCCATCTGGGATGGCCTAATTTCTGAGAATGAGATTTCTTTTTACTACATTATTTTATTGGAATAATTAAATTTAATTAATGAATAAATAGTTATAAAAACAAAACTAATAGTCCAACACCCCTATACAGTGGGTGATCGGTTAACGAACATAATCCGTTCCAAGACTATGTTCGCTATCCGAATTGTTCGTTAACCGATCATCGATTCACCATAGACTTCTATGTGAAATCGATTAATTCGTTCTGGAGACCCTAAAAAATGAAATAAAAAAAAACCGAAACTGATGATCTAAATTGTATGAATATTCTATTGAAATTTTTTTTCAATAGAACTTTGAAGTTTAATTGGTAAGCAACATAATTCCGGAGAGATGAAAAACGATTTTTTTATAGTCCGTTTCTCATGTTTCACGTATTTTTACGGCGGAAGTGCGTCATCGGCACCTTTATATTTTATAGTCTGCACTGTTTGAAAAAATTAAGAATCACTTAATTTATTTGCCATGTCAGCAAATCCACTCGCCCATAACTTATCAGCTGTCAGAAAATATTGATATTCATATTGAAATTCAAGTATTCAAGTGTGTATTGATTTTAGTCATAATAATAATTATTAAATGACCTCATTGTTAATTCAAGTTTCATTTAGTAATTATCAATACTAAGCATGCTTTAAACATTTCTCCTTTCAGTGATCTTATTTTGTATGCAAAATGATAACAAATGTTTAATATTAATTTTTTTCAGAGCCGAGAAGTGTTCGTTAGAATTCGTTTTGTTCATTATCCGAATATGTGTTCGTCATCCGAACACAAAAATCTTTCTTGAAAGTGTTCGTTAACCGATCACCCACTGTATATAAAGGAAAATGGAAAATTGCTTTCTATTTTGCCATTTAATATTGTGATTCTGTCATATGTATATACATATTTATATTAACTGTAATTAATTAATTAAAAAGTAACTAAAATAAAATTTTTCTTTGTTGACCTAAGTAGGAATTGGCTTCAAAATTTTTTTTTATATATATTACTTGTGTTATATACTGTTTTTGCATAAAACTTATTTTTAATAAAGGAAATAAATTATTTTCTTTACATGCCTTTTTTTTTTTTTAATAATTCATTATTTTGATATTTCATGTTTGTTAATCAGTATGTACCAATTCAAGAAAGGTATGAGTACGTGGAATTTTTCTTCAACTTTTTGAATAAATGAATAGAGTGGATAATGTATTCATGCTTGTGACGGAATGATTTTCAATGACGACAGCTACACGATGTATTTCCTCAAACCGTTTATAAGAGATAAGTGCGATTCGTCTGAGGATAAGGAGGTTGGCCCCGTGTACGTAAATAGCACACGTGATTCGAATTTCCCTATTCTAGAGGGAAAATATTAATTTCAAGGTTAAGACTTTGCTACTGTCCAAACAGGAAGGAGTGCTGAAGTTAGTTGGGTAGAAGGAAAGTTTACTCGATTCTTTTTTCCCCCTTGAAATTGTGTTCACAGGAAAGTGGACAGTCATAATCAAGCACGTGCCCCCAGTGCTTGATTGATGTGAAGCCATCTGCCCTTTGCTTTGAGTTAAGGCACAGTGAAATAATGACGGCATATTATGCTTCCTTTTTATAAAAAAAATACTAAATAACACTAAATATTCAAAAACAAAATCTTCTGCAGAATCTCCTGTTCCATGAATCACTTTTTCTTTGAGTAACAACATTGATAGTTTCTAAAATAAGGTTTTTAACTTCTTTAAAGTTATTCTGAATATATATATATATATCTTTATATATAAAAATCTCTGTGTGTGTATGTGACTAAACTCCTAAACGGGTGGACCGATTTTGATGAAATTTTTTGTGTCTGTTCCAGTGGATTGGAGAATGGTTTAGATTCACAATTCGGTCCGATATCGCAATTTGTTAAAAAGATATTAATTAAAAACCTTAAAACGCATAATTGTCTTACCCCGTGTGCTATTTATTCTGCTAATGCGAGCCAAGAAAAGCCACGATACGGTATATCTTTATATATAAAAATCTTCGGTGTGCGTATGAATGTGACAAAACTCCTCCTAAACGGCTGATTTGATTGTGTCGTTTCTTTTTCAGCTTAAAAAAATCAATGTAATTCGGTTTAACGTTGCTTATATTTTATTTTATTATTTCAAACTATTTTTGGATATTATCGATTGATCCAATTGTGATAACCGTATATGTAATGACGTTAGATATTGTAATAACTTTTTAATACAAATTTTCATCAAAACGGTTCAGATTGTTAAATCTTATCATAAAAATTTGGCATTTTTGAATTTAAGATGTGTGTATAGGAGAACGTCTGTCGGGTCCGTTAGTATATATATATATACAACGCAATAAATTTCTAGTTTCAAAAAATTCAGAAAAAATAAAAAACTATAAACATTTTACTAATTCAGAAATACCCAATTTAGTTATTTTGAATAAAAAAATTCTAAACAGTAAGGATTAAAATTCCTTAGAATAATAATAGTTTATTAGAATAAATTTATCATTTTTCCTAGTTAAGTTACCTCCATATTCTAAGATTAGATAAAATTACTTATTATTATTTTTAAATTCATATATAACTCTGGTGTCACTAAAGTTATGGTCGTTTGTAAACTCTCTTTTTTATTTTTTATTTCTATTCTTTTCATACTTTTGTTAAGTGCTACAATTCAGCCATTTCCATGCTTTGAATTTGCATTTAGGTCCAGAATCTGTTAATAACATTTATTGTACTCAGATTTAGTCCTGGGCTCTGCATTTTTGAACGCAATTTTTAGATAATTTACCTCTATCTTGTAATGGATTTAGATATTCTATTCATTATTTTCAATAGGTTTTTGCTCAGTATTATCAACATAAAGTGGGAAGGTTGGCTTTTTATATAAATTATTTTATATATAAGCTGTCCTAAGTCAGCAATGTTTATAATACTGTAGGATCCATTTTTTAAATATTTTAATCCCTATTATAATTTTAATTTCTCATATATCCTTCAATATCTGGTTATTTACAATCTCAATTTTTTTCGGTTTTGCTTGATGAATTTTCTTATCTCATTAGTAGAGAACTTAGACTATGTGTGTGTGTGGTTACTGAATACAACATAAAAAAGTGTATATTATTAAAAACAGGTAATTTTTTCACAAAAATCATGCTGATTCAGAAAACAAAACATTAATGCTGAGAACATGCAACTGATACAGACATTAATCACTACTTGGAAATGCATCAATATTCATTTTTCCGGGTCACATCTATTGTGCTTTTACCATTTATTGATCGGAAATATATGATGTGAACTTTATATGCTACCATGCCGTGTGTATGTGATCTAAAATTCATAATTACGAGGAATTAGAGGAATTTATTTAATGCATTTTTTTTCTCTTAATATAAGATAGCAAATATTTTAAGTGATTCATAAGCCAATTTGATTAGAAAAGGGTTTTTTCAAATCAGTTTGATCAATTGTTAGATGTATGTTGATCAAATGCTGCAAATTTAAGTTAGGATTTATGAATATGTTTTGTTTATACAGGTTTTAATTGTTTAACAAGTTTTAATTGAATTTATTGAATATATTTTTAAATATCAAAATAATTAACCTCTTTTTTCCCTTTAATTTCATTCTTTTTCACTTGAGAATCCAGAAAGGAAAACTTATTTGTAACATTCTCCAATACTTTTGACTATTTTTTTAAAAAAATTATCATAATAAAAACCTCTTATTCATATTATTTTAATTTTTAAAAACTAGAACTAATATCACACCATCTTGCTGTGATAATGAAAATTCTATAAACTACTAACTACTAAGAAACTACATTTAAAAATTCAAAACTTAAATATCTTACATTGATTGCTTAGTAAATTTCTTAGCTTTGATAGTAATAACTTTAATGAATAGCTTTTATTAACAGTGATTGTTTTAATATATTTTAAAATTTTCTCGTTCTTGCTTTATACAAGAATCGATATAATGAAACACATTTTATGTCAATGTAAATATTTTCCTTCTTAACTTTCGAAATTTTTTCGAACCGCATAGTATCAACTTAGTATCAAACCATATCAAAGAATGTTTAAATATAAAATTTTGGTTCAATTCGATGAAACATAAGATGCTAAAATATTTATTTTTGTTATGAACGATGAATTGGATTGTCTGCCTTCTATAAAATAAAATTTAGAAGACGTATTTCAAGTTTCACATAAGTCGTTCCCTTCAAAGGAGTTGGAAATATATGCTTTGTTCAAAATAATTGGAATTAAAGACAATTTTGTAGTGTTTTATAAAAATGCCTTAAAATTCACTCCTATCACTTTGGATTCAATAAAGAATCTTCCCATCTTTCAGAAGAAGAATAAAAAAAAAATCTTATTTTAAAAATTATCGTCGAATAAAACTTCGTTCCCCGTGAACTCAGTAGTAGTAACAATCTACAAAAATGAACTATACATTAAAATCCGGCGAATAACGCGCACCTATACTTTCAAGTTGCATTTTTTAATTTTTAGTTACATTCACCTTATAATGCGCACCCCCTTTTATAAGAAAAAACCTGAAATTATATGTGCAACGCTCTTATGTTTGAAGTAATTTATTTGAGGTATTACCCCAAGCTTTTGAAAAAATAGTATACTTTCAGAACCTAAACTTCCTAAGAGTTAATAAAGAGAGAGAAAGAGAGAGAGAGAGAGAAATACCATTTCTTTTAAATACACAGTATTTCGATTTTACGTAGAAGTTTTAATTTTTTATCATGGACATTTCTCTCTCTCTCTCCTTTTTTAAGGCATCATATTTTATACCCGGTGTATAACACACCACCATAAATTACGATCTTATTTTTTGTGTTAGAAATACGTGTTATACGCAGGATTTTACGATAAATCTGATGCATTTCTCTTTTTAAAAAACATTAATCCTCCGAGAAGAGGATTTTCAATTATTGCTTAGAGCGTTTTTTTTAT